TAGTTTTTGCACATCATTCAGGGTTTTTACTTCAATTTGCAACTGAATTGGTTGTGGCATTACTGTCTGATCTAGCATCTTCATGCCTAAGTACAACCATGGCTGTTGACGTTGTACTTTCTCTGGAGCAATTACCACCCCATGGTATTGTAATGATTTTTGTGCTTCAGCCTCCATTTCAGTTAGCATTACCTGGGAAGGTGCAGCTAATAAGATGTCGTCATATAATGATAACAATAACCTGATGGAAATGCAGCTCGAACAGAGCTCAAGGCTTTTGCCACGAACCACTGACAAATAGTAGGTGAATTTTTCGTATCTTGCGGTAAAACTTTCCAGTGATACCTTTTGGCTAGTTCACTGTTGTTCACTGAAGGCACTGTGAATGCAAATTTCTCCATGTCCTGGTTAGCAAGAGGAATAGTAAAAAACCAGTCTTTTAAATCTGTGACTACAATTTCCTGTTGCATTGGAATCATAGTTGGTGAAGGCAACCCTGGTTGCAAAGCCCCCATTGTTGCCATCAATCACCTCCTTGATCTTTCTTAAATCATGTAGCAATTGCCATTTTCCTGATTTCTTTTTGATCACGAACACAGGTGTGTTCCAAGGACTGTGAGAGGATTCTATATGTCCTGCTGCCAATTGCTCTTTAATCAGGGGGTGCAGGGCTGTGAGTTTTTCTTGATTGAGGGGCCACTGATCCACCCAAACAGGCTTTTCTGTTAACCATGTTAAGGCCAGTGTGGGCTGTGTTACGCCCTGCAGCACAGTGACCCCTATTAAAAATCCATTGTAATTCTCACTCCCCATTGTGCAAGACAGTCCCTCCCCCACAAATTTAAGGGTGCTGTGGTCACATATGGTCTTAATAGTGGCTTTTTGTCCCTCAGGATTATTAATAAGAACAGGCTTGACAGACATAAAGCTGTTGGCAACCCCCCCAGACCCATTTCTCCGGCACTATTCGACACTAGAGGGCAGGTGGAAGGCCAGTCACGCTGTGCGATGGTAGTAACATCAGCTCCTGTGTCCAGCAAACCCGTTAGTTTTGTCTGCAATGGGGTTACATGATCCATTGTAAGTGTGCAAATCATTTCTGGTCTCGTTGGTGACAGTCAGTCTGGGACCAAAACATAGATGGTTTCCCCGTAGATCCAAATCCGTTGTTGCCGCCAACAGTCTGCTCTGTTCTAGGAACACAACTCAGAAAAGGCCCAAGTTGAGCAATTCGAGTCCTTTTAGTAATTGTTATCGGTGGTGTTGCAGTAGATACCATAGCACAGATCTGTCCTGTATAATCAGCATCAGTCACTCCTACATGCACTATTAACCCTTGCAAAGTGCCGCTTGATCATCCTATTAACAAAGCACTAAGTCTTTTACTGATTGGTCCCCATGGATCCAAAGGCACTTTGTGTATTTGTCATTTATTGTTACTGTGTCGGCGGTAGATACATCCATCCCAGCAGCTTCAGTTGTTTTCCCTGATAATTTGTCACACAAGCTTGCGGATTGATCTATGGATTGCACTGCCGATGCTGTATCGCTGCCGCAAAGGGATTGCCAAGATGGTAGGGTATTTGTGTCTGGGCGCGCCCCCTCGTGCTTTTTGCCATTTCCCTGAATTATCTGACCATTAATATGAAACTTTGATCGACATTGTTTAGCATAATGACCTGTTTTCCCACATCTATGACAAGTAACTGTTACTGAGTTATTTGTTGTCAGTTTCCGATCTTTTAGGTCTGGGCATTCTGATTTTTTATGTCCCATGTTTCCACATTTAAAACACTTCTGCTCCTTAACACGCAAGGCAGTTAAGTCGGTGGCCAGCGCAGTCATTTTATGCCCTGCAGTCCTGACTTCAGCATGCGCAGTAACCATTTCCTCTGAAGAAGGATCCCCCAGTAACGTCTCAATAACTCTTTGACAGTCAATGTTGGCATTATCTCTTGCTAGCTGTTTTGTTAACAGGCTTCGCACATTGCTGTCAAATAATTGTTTTTCTATAGCTCCTTGCAGTTTTTCCACAAATTGTAAGAAAGGTTCCCTGGCTCCTTGCTTGATTGTTGAATACTTTGCCTTAGGCTCCACCACCTCTGCCGTGCATATTAAAGCGTGCATCCCTATTTGCTTAATCTGCACAAGAATTTGAGGATGCCACTGTGCTTGAACTGTCGGATTACTAAACACTTGACCCATTTCCATCAATACGTCTGCACCCACACCATAACAAGGGTCAGTTTGGGACAATTGCATATTTTGCAATGCCTGCTGATCAGCCCGTTGTCTCCAAACGTTCATAAAAAGCGAGTGTTGTGCTGGCTGAAACGTAATTTGAATTTAATACCTCTAAATTCAATATTCGCAACAATTGCGTTACTGCTGGGGAATTCAGTCCATACTGAGTAACTGCTTTCCGCATATCCTGTATAACTCTCCACGACCACCCCACATGTTGATTGGGCTGATTAGAACCTGGGAGAGCTAGCTCCACAAGAAATGCACTAGGTTTTCCTTCAGTTTCCATCACAGGCAGATATTTATCAACCAGTGCCCCCAGCACTTCAGACAAGTCCCAGTCTCCATCCTCTATTGCTTTTTTCTTAATCTCATCCCAAAAACGTACTACATTACGCAACTGAACCATCACTGTAGCAGGTGGCAACACCCATGACCGTGGTAAGGGAGGCTGATACGGTAGACCCCCCCCTATTCTCCCATTTGCTTTGCAGGAGTAGTAGGTGTCTCAGCAACATCTTTCTCTCTGTTACTTTCCAGTAAAAGGGGATATAACTGATCCTGTGCTTGTGCGTTCTCTGTCTTCTTAATATCAGAGGAATTCAGTGGAGAAGAAGGGAGAGAGCATGTTTCAACCTTAGGAGTTGTGTACTTTTGTTTTGCCTCTTGCAGCTGTTGCCAAGGCAGTTTATAAGGAGCAAATTTCTCTGCCACTTTTAGCTGTTCTGCAGGGGACACATACATTCCTGAGGAAGCCGGCTTGACCGAGCAAGCAGATTTTTGCAGTTTTTCTTTCGACTTGACCACAGGCAGTAAACTCCCTGCTGAGCTATCATTTACTTCAGAAGTCTCTCCCACAACCTCGTTTACTGCAGAGGAGGTTATCGGAACAGAGTCTGTCTTGCGCTCTGCTTTATCGCACTCAGATTTTAAGTCTTTTAAAGCGTCCAAAAGTGATTGCCAAGTTGTTAGTAAGTCTGTAGACTCTTTTTCCCCAAGAGTAGCAGTGTCAACCTTTCCTCCTAGGGCTTGCCACATAGACACACTAAATGCTGTGGCAGAGTTCGCTTCAAACCCTTGTCGCTGCCCCCATAATAATATTTTTTGAAGGTTATTATTAGTTACTTTTAGTCCTTTCTTTTTCAATATTAACATCCACATAGAAAGAATAGCTTCCTCCTCCTTCGTAAGGTTATTCCTCATAGTCCTGTTCCCAGCGGCTCACCTCTCCAGGTGTCAAAGTTGATCTGGATCAATTCGCAGCTTTCCCGCCGCTCTCAAGCTACGCTGGGCTCCATCTCCACCGCACTTCGCCCTGTGGTCCAAAAGTTCGTGTGCTGGCAAATCACTTCGGGGTCACCAGATGTCACTGTACAGCACTGTTGAGACGGCCATGACAGACACAGGTTCAAGCAGAATTCATCAGCATAAGCCTTTATTGCAGGTTTTCCATACCCTTTTATACAATTTCTAGCAGTGCACGCGACATAAGCAGTTAGGGGATTGGTTAACTACAGCCGTCCACGCGCCGTAGCTTAATACGTGATGGGTGAACGTTTGGTGATCACGCGTTCTGTACACTCCAAGCCAAATTCATTACAGCAGGCAGTTAGCGTAGAAACTAGTCCGAGGACTTATCTTGCAATTCCTTTTTATCTTACAGTTTCCTGACTTTCCCAGCGCCTGCAAGTTGTTTCTGTTTCTTCTGTTCAGGGAGTATCCAGCTCTCAGGGAGTATTCAGCAATTTCTCCAAGGTCAATTTCTTCCTCTTCTGTCCTGGGATCCACGGACCCACTGTAGTTTCCCACGTTTCTTCTTTTTTGTGGGAATTTTGATCATCTTGGATTTTGGGAACTACCATTTCTTGATCTTGGCAGAAGTCAAATGTTTCTGAGTTTGGAATTAATGATCTATTTGTTCTGAATGTTGAGCAGGTGATGCAATGCAAGTTGGTATCTATGGGTAGACTAGAATAAGTAAAAAGGCCTCGGATTTTTTTTTTTTATTACTTAAGACTCTCTTATATTCTCTTCTGTTTTATAGGCACTTATGTTAATCACTGGACTGAAATAAAAGCTAGATGTAGTTGATACTTTGGAGAAATAGTAATGGTCTATAGTTTTGTTTGTGTATAAACAGACTGAAATCTCATTAAAGATAACATCTTGTTTTTGCTGCTTAGTTAGCTGGATATTGGCAGAGAGTGAAAGGAAGGAAAAAAAAAAAGCATGAGACTTGCAATAGCCATTACTAAAATCTTTTTTTCTGATTAACTTTGTGTCAAATATACAAAAATATATTGCAGAATGCACCCAAAAAGAACGTCTTAAATAGACCTTTTGAGATTTGGAGGCATGGCTAAATAGTTTATCTTCGTTCTCTCTGCTAGCTGGAACTATAATCATAGAATGGCATAGGCTGGAAGGGACCTCAGAGATCATCTAATCCAACCTCCCTGTCATGGGCAGGGACGCCTCTTAACTAGACCAGGCTACTCAAGGCTCCGTCCAACCTGGCCTTGAACACCTCCAGGGAGGGGGCATCCACTACTTCTCCGGGCAATTTATTCCAAAGTTTTACCACCCTCGTACTGAAGAATTTCTGCCTAAGATCTAATCTAAATTTGTTCTCCTTCGACTTAAACCCATTTCCCCTTGTCCTATCAGTGGACACTCTTGTAAAAAGTCCCTTCTCAGCCTTCCTGTAAGTTCCCTTCAGGTATTAGAAGGCAGCTATTAGGTCCCCCCGAAGTCTTCTCTTTTCAAGGCTGAACAATCCCAGCTCCCGCAACCTGTCCTTGTAGCAGAGGTGCTCCAGCCCTTGGATCATCTTTGTGGCCCTCCTCTGAACACGCTCCAACAAATCTATGTCTCTCTTATGGTGGGGACACCAGAACTGGACGCAGTATTCGAGGTGGGGTCTCACAAGAGCAGAGTAGAGGGGGAGAATCACCTCTCTTGACCTGCTGACCATGCTTCTCTTGATACATCCCAGGATGCGGTTGGCCTTCTGGGCCGCATTAGCACACTGCTGGCTCATGTTGAGCTTCTCATCTATAAACACTCCCAAATCTTTCTCTTCAGGGCTACTGTCAACCCGCTCTGTGCCCAGTTTGTATTTGTGCCTAGGATTGGCCCGACCCAGGTGAAGGACCTTGCATTTTGACTTGTTGAAGCTCATATAATCTCACTTGTTTTTTAAGGTATGGTACAAATCTCACTGCTCTGAGCTTTAGGTCAGAGAAGTTCTGAACTGCTGCATCTGAAGGACCAAAATCTCAAATATCAGATCATTTTAAGAGTACTTCTCTAAAACTGCCATGTGCCACTGTTCTGGTTCATGTGCCAGACGAGTGAAACAGTTTTCTTGTTTATTTTGGGTTCCTTTTGGTTATTTTTATCTGACAGTTTACCTTTTGACTTTACAGATTTATAAAATATTTCCAAATCATGTATATTATGATTATTCTACCATAAAGTATACTGAAGGTATAATTCTAAAATATTGTCACTGAAAATTAGGAGATGCACATTTTAAATATTTACTGAAAAAATATTCATTTGTGGAA